ACATGGTGACATCAATGTATTTTTAAAATTAGACAGCGACGTTCTCTCAGAAGTTGTTTTGTAGACGTTTATCTGTTGATGACCTTTTGACCTCCTGATTTCTGCAATGAGATTTTCGGGTCGATTCAGCCGAGACGGCCCGAGTGGAGTTTCATGTAAATGTTTCGTACGGAAAAAAAAATCGCGCCCGGTTATAATGTGTTAAGTGTTGTGTGGTGCTTGTGGGCTGTGCTTGTGTGGGGCGGCGGCGGCGTCGGATAGTGACATCGGATTGCTGGTTGGTGCTTGATCTTGGATGATGTAAGGAAATCATTTGATCTCTAAGTAACAACTCCCTGGTTTGTTTGATGACTGTGTTAAAATTTGATTCACAAATTTAGGCTGCAGCCATCCGTGGGTGGTAGTCCTAGACCTTTCTAAATTGGCTAGGCCCTAGGCCTAGGCCTTATTTAGTTAGGCTAGACGGATACCTCCTCTCTAGCTAGGCGATGTGACACAGACGATCAGGCCAAAAAGGGGATCGGGCACAGGTGTGTCAGGGAAAATTTGGTCCGGGGCCAAAATCCGTCGGACCGATTTTGGCTTCAAAATTACCTACTAAATATAGTCCACATAATCCAAAATCGGTCCGGCGAAAAGAAGTTAAATGATGTGGTCTTAAATCGTGTTGGTCTGCTGTAGTTTATTTTTTACCTTGTTTTGTTTTGGGTTAAGCAGAATGCTAACCCCTTTATTTCATGTATTGTATGACCTAATACTCCACATAATAATATGGAATATTTAATACTGAATATACAAAACATAAAACATTTTATTCTTCAAAATAATTTTTAATTCATCCAGTATTAGAAATAATAAATTGCAGTTTCTCTTAAAGATGTATTGTCCCATGCTAAATATTAAAAAAATCATAAAAATATTTTTTGAAATATACTTGCCAATTTTGAAGTACACTAACATAAAAGTTGATAGTAATTGTTAATGTCGTGATGGAATAATAAACAATAACTGGATTTGCGTCAGGAGAAACATGCATAGGTATAATTTTTGCCCTACCTGACGTGGAAATGCACCGAATACTCAGTACATCTGCCCTACCTGACGTGGAAATGCACCGAATACTCAGTACATCCGGATGTATAGAGTATTCGGTGCATTTCCCGTCAGGTAGGGCAAAAATTACACCTAAACATAAAAGTTATCAACTTGAACATAGAAATTAGTGTTTTAAAAAAATATCTACCCATCGGTTTACAGCGAAAAATGATAGAAACACTTCCAGTCACTGAAAGTGTTTTATTATTTTTATTATAGTTTGTTGGTTTAAAACTCAGATTACACATTTTTTTAATTCAGTAATTTCTATGCACAAGCTAATAATTTGTATTTTATTGCAAAATGAGCAAGTTTATTTCAAACTTATTTAAAAAAAATTATTTTTTGACATTAGTAAGTGACAATACAGTACATCTTTAATTATAGTATACTTATAAAATTGTTTTCTTTTACAAGGAAATGCGCTGGTGGTTCTCTGGTAGTGTTTAGTAGGATCAGGGAGTTGGTAAAGTAGGACTGACGCCGCCTAATCTAGCTCAGGCTTGCATTAAATTCTACTATTCCATCTAGGCTAGCCTAGGCATAGATCTGTAGAGGCTCGCCTAAAAGAAAGTCTAGCGAAAAATCTATTTTGTTACTGCAACATCATACTTCAGGTCACGTGACTGTCAGCCTAGTAGTATCAGGGCCAGGTTACAGTTGAGCCAGACATTTCAACTGATTAAGTGACGCACAAGTAGGTGCGTCAACTGGGACTGTGCCAACAACTTGAGATACTTTACTCATCTGTTGTTTATAAAGTTCTAAAAGTCTGTCGGCGGGAAAAAAATGAATAGTGAAGTTTTTATCTGATGTGTCCGACAAAAGGGTCTGCTTGAAGATTTTGATTTCTTTCAGGCCTTCTTTTTGATAGAATTGTTAACCTAATTGCCTTTTTCTTTTGCTTTTTCAGCTCACAAAATTCCGGCCTCATGAATCAAGAATTATTGGTTAAAGAAGAATCAGCTATGTCAGGATGCAAAATGAAGAATATACAGAATTTAGAAATTAAGTTTGAAATAGGTTGGTTCTCAAGTTATTAATTGGCTACCCCAAAGGAGAAAACCTTGGGGAAGCTGTGTTTTTGCCCATTTTCTACTTCATGTTCGTCATGTAAATTATTACCATGAAAACTAAAGCTTGGTAAGTCTGCTTGCTTTCAAACTTTGCAGAATGCAAGATGAATATGCTAATTGATAATTTGCATAATATTTCACTAATCAGGAAATTTACACTAAATACCATCATAATTCCAAAAATTTAAAAATATACTTCTTATAGATAAAGTATTATATTTAGGTGAAATTGTAATACGATAAAGTATATATTATACCTTTATCAAAAATAGTGATTCAGTTTGCGGTTAAAATTAATTTTTACGTATCTTATTTTACACAATTTGTATTGTTAATTAACATATTCACACAATTTTCGTTAGTGCAAACATTTCAGACTAGTCACAGTATGATCGAAGCAAGTTGTCGTGTTGAGCTTCTGCTGATGTTAGTGTACTGCACTGTCAATAACATATTTCCATTATATAAATATTTTTCTCTATTAGGGGTCTCCCATAATTTTCAGTGACCCCCCTCCCTCCCCCTGAAAGAATACACAATAAAATGTTGATTTATGTCATTTTGAGATCGGAACATGAAGGGTGGATATATGGAGAGTTCATAGCACATTAGTTCTTCAATGTCGATGTCGGTGTTGTTTGCAATTACCAGTAGCCTTTGGAAAAGAGGCTGAGTGTCAACTTCAAGTTCCACTCAATCTGAAACAATTTTGTGGCCCATTGTCTTCCCTTGATCTTCTTTTTGAAGACATATACCTTCCATCATCTTGATTGTGGCATTGCCAACATCTTTTGCAAGGTGGGCATTCGACTGTGGTGCTGTTATTCCGGAAACGATGTTGTAAACAAATTCGTTGTCAGAAAAAGAGCTGTAGTGCTAAAAGTATTTATAGATTTGATTAATATCTGTCTCTTATACACATCTAGATGTGTATAAGAGACAGCATAAAGCATGTGTTTTGTACTCTTTTGAAAATGTTAAAAATTATGGGTGGCCCCTTTGCCAAAACTAATATATAAAAATACCTGTGCTATACCATGGGACAACCATACAATACTTGAAATTTTCTCTTATTTATATTTTCTAGACCAGCACAATGAATTTCCCAGTAATGAGGATAAGGAACAGTCTGTGGTAAAAACAGAGTTTTTTGTTGCTGAAAATGATAACCATGAAGAGGATAATGAGGATAGGGAACAGGTTGTAGTGAAAACAGAAATTCTTGTTGCTGAAAACTCTCATTTACATAGGTGTATATATTTTCATAATGATAACCACGAACAGGAAAATCTAAATGAATGCAGTGAAATACAAGAGAAAAATGAGAGTTTAAAGAAGAAGTTGAAAAGGGACAACACAGAATTGACACATGATTGTGACCATTGCGGAGAGAATTTTGATTTCATGAATTTGAAAACACATATGGGAATCAAAACAGAAGATAAATTCTTTTATTGTATTCATTGTGGAAAGAAATTTAATCAAGCAACCAAATTTGAAGAACATTTGCAAACACATACAGAAGAGACATCAAATGGAAGTCAATTTTGTGGAAATATTGCAGTCAAAATAAATGATAAGCATTGTGGAAGTGAATTTGATCAAGCAAGAACATTAGAACAACATTTGCAAACACATACAGAAGAGACACAATATGATAAGGAACATTGTGCAAAGAAGGTTAAAGATTGTGGCAGTTTGGAAGAACATTTGCAAACACATACAGGAGAGACACCACATGAATGTGAACATTGTGGAAAGAAGTTTAAAACTAGTCATAATTGTCAATCACATTTGGAAGTATGTACAGGAGAAACACCATTTGAATGTGGAGACTGTGGAAAGAAGTTTAAGACAAGTGAGAGTTTAAGGGCCCATTTGAACATACCATATTCATGTGAATATTGTGGAGAGAAGTTTAATGATATTAGCACTTTTAAGATACATTTGAGTATTCATATAGCTGAGAAAACATATGAATGTGAACATTGCGGAAAGAAGTTTAAAAACAGTCAAATTTTTAAACAACATTTGAGAATGCATGCAAGGGTAAGAATGTATGGATGTGAACAATGTGGAAAAAAGTTTAAAGGAAGGATTATTTTGAAATCACATATGATAATACATACAAAAGATTTTCAACATGAAGAGTGTGGAGAGAGGTTTAAACACAATGATGATTTGACAACACATTTGATGACACATACTGGAAAGTCACCATTTGTTTGTGAGCAGTGTGGAAAAAAGTTTAAACACAATTGCTATTTGAAAATTCATATGAGGATACATACAGACGAAAAACCATTTGAATGCGAAGATTGTGGAAAGAAGTTTAGACAAAAAGCCGATTTAAAAAAACATTTTAGGATACATTCAGGGGAAACACCGTATGATTGTGAACATTGTGGAAAAAAGTTTAGAGACTATAAAAATTTCATATCACATTTAAGGATACATACTGGAGAAACACCATATGAATGCGAACAGTGTGGGAAAAATTTTAGAGACAAAGGAAATTTGGTAACTCATTTGAGAATACATACTGGAGAAACACCATATGAATGTGAACATTGTGGAAAGAAGTTCAAACAGAAAGGCAATTTAAAATCTCATTTGAGGGTACATACAGGAGAGAAACCATTTGTATGTAAACAGTGTGGAAAGAAGTTTAAACAGGGGGGCAAGTTAAAAAGACACATGAGAATACATACAGAAGAAAAGCCATATGCTTTGAAAAATCATTTGGTAGTACGTATGGTAGAGAGACCATATGTATGTGAACATTGTGGAAAGACGTTTACCTTAAGAAACACTTTAAATAGACATTTGAGGATACATACAGGAGAGACACCATATGTATGTGAAATTTGTGGAAAGAAGTTTAAAGATTATAGAAATTTCATATCCCATAAAAGGATACATACTGGAGAAACACCATATGAATGCGAACAGTGTGGAAAAAAGTTTAGAGACACAAGAAATTTGGCAACCCATTTAAAAATACATACAGGAGAAAGACCATATGAATGTGAACATTGTGGAAAGAAGTTTAGACAAAAAGGCAATTTAAAAGCACATTTGAGGGTACATACAGGAGAGTGCCCATTTGTATGTGAGCAATGTGGAAAGAAGTTTAAACAAAGTGGTAAATTGAAAAGTCATATGAAGATACATACAGAAAAGGAACAATTGAAAATACATAAAGAAAAACTATTTGAATGTGAAGATTGTGGAAAGAAGTTTAATCACAAAGGCAATTTGAAAACACATTTTAGGATACATACAGGAGAGACACCATTTGTATGTCAACAATGTGGAAAGAAATTTAAACAAGGTGGCAAGTTGCAAAGGCATATGAAGGTACATACAAAAATTGCGGAAAGAGGTTCACACTGAAGGACAATTTGAAGATTTTAAGACACAGTACATACAGGAGAGTCACCATTTGTGTGTGAATAATGCGGAAATATGAGGCATTTTAATGCTGCATTTAAGTCAATATCAGCCCAATCACACTTACTGTATTACTGTATATTGGCCCAGGGCCACCTTAGCTACGGCTGACCGTTCCGTTCACAGTATAACATTAAAAAATAATATTTTTTCATACTTGCATTACATAGTGAATAACTGAATTAAAAAAAATAAAAAAAAATACTGTACTGTGTTATATGTAGTGCATACTCAAAGGCTCCTATTTTAAATTGTTATTTTTTGCCAGTTTGGACTTGATATGTATCTGTATTTATGGTAATTAAAACTTTTTGATTTAAAAAAAAAATATACATGTATATATTCTACGTCGGCTCAGGGTCGCACTGCAAATTTTCACACTTCCTCCTTTGCGCCAGACCGATGAATTGCAGGATATGAAGTTCTAGCCGACCAAACCTTTTCATGTTATCAATCATTATTTGCCTGTCTTATCACCTTAATTCACCTCTTTACCTGTTCGGTAGTAGGTCCGAGGGCTTATTTTGAGGTTGAAGCTACTGCAGCCGGGTATACTGCCCAACTGAGTGCCCTTGTGCACCCTTGGGTATGACATTGACGTTGTGACATCGGTGGGTGGACCCCTGTTCTGGACACCTATGCCGATAGTGCTCATACATTTCAGAACTGTTTTTAGTTTAATTCCAAACATTCAAATATATTTACTCCGTACTAATGTGGGTATAAGCCCACCTCCTTAAACACAAAATTGCGTTGTGGGCTTACTATATACCCAAGAATCCAAAAATGTAGATCGTCAAAAATAGCACATACTCTGCAGGAATTTAAAGGTTTTAACATACAAGGAAGTGCCAAACGTATTGATATTCTATCGTATGAGTGTCTTGATCGTCTTTTTGCATGTTAAAAGCCGTCGTCAAAACGAAAGTAGAAATTTCCAAGGCAAGGTTGATTTATCCCACAAATATATTCTAGTGGTCCGAATAGAGAAAATAAGAGTCCAAAAACAAGTGAGCAGCAGACAGCTGTCGTCAAGACGACGGATGCAAGTAAAAATTTCCCATGTTCCTTAAATGCTTGATGTGATCATTCAGGTCCAATGGCACCTCCAATTTCAAGCAAGTGTTGCTCAGACTTCTTCGAAGTTACTCTGGAGTTAGGTTGTATATGAGAATCATGAAGAAGATAGTTCTGATAGCGACACTGATTTATTGTTTAAGTACTGCAACAATAACATTCAGAGTCGAGTTTAGAAAGTGTTATTTACCTGTATTCAAGTTTCCATAGGTTTGTTTTAACACCGGTTTGTGTTACCTTACTATATGTAACTTTCATTCTAATTAAAGAGCGCCACAGATTTTTCATTGAAGATTCAATAATACAGGCCTGTAGCCAGGTTTTTCCAAGGGGGAGGGGGTTTTCTGGGCGTAAGGTCCACAGTCGAAACCCCGGTGGGGTCGGCGAATCCCCCAAAGCAAGAGGATTTTTGTGCTTTATGGGTCTAAATAATAATATAAAAGCAAATATGTTTGAAAATGTCTGTGTCTGGGTGGGTCTGCAGTGCATTAGTTGGGTTGGAGGACTTATTTGGAAAATTTAAAGAGGGGGTTTTGCCAGAAAGAGGGTGGTTTGCTAAAAAATGGGTTCTCCCGAACCATAAAACCCCCCCTGGATATGGGCCTGTAATAGGCAATGCCGTAGCCAGCTATTGGGACAGTCCCACACAATTTTTCTATTGGGTCCACAATGAATGGGTCCACATTTTAAAAATGGGTCCAGATTTCTCATATTTTGTGTAAAATGAGTCCAGCTTTCTCATATTTTGCGTAAAATAGGTCGATTTTTAAGAAAATGGGTCCACATTATTTGAATTTACGCATAAAGTGGGTCTACCAATCTATTGTCCCACACTGTTAAAAAAACAGGCCCTTAAATTATTGCTATAGATCGACTACAATGTAGGTCCTGCGTTTTTAAATACATTTAAATCAAATTAGATCGATCTTTTAATAATGTGACTTTAAATAGGCCTACATGATAGCAACTTATTATAGAACATATTTAATGATGTAGGGCCAGCCGAGCATTTAATTATGGTGATTCATTATAAAAACAAAAACAGTGAAAGATTAACATTGTTCTGTATATCATTTTAATTTCTTCAATTTCAAGCAAGTGACAGTTGATTTTCGTGTAATTTTTGTATTTTAAATGAATATTATGTACCCTCTGTTGTGTTCTGTTAGATTATGAGTAGCCATGCTTGGAAGCAAGACACGCAACGACGGATAACAAGTAATAGATACAATAAAGCAGTATTACAGGAGAACAACAACTAAAGTTTATTCACAATAACATTTCAATATATACAGTACATAGGTAAATGGTGACTGGTTACTTAATTGATATGCATAAGGGGTAGTGCTTCCCAATCATCCCATTAGTTAGTGGGAGATACTCAATCACACAGGTGTGTGTATACATTTGACAGCTGACCTCCACTTAGGGGTAATTATTTGTTGGTTCCCAGAGTCTGGCAGACATACAGGGACAAACTAATGAAGGCTATTTACATTGAAACCCATTAAATCAAAGTTAATAATAACATGGTTATAAACAATAAGAAGAGAGCCTCTTAACACCCCCACTGGCTCGAAATCCCATAATGAATTTCTTATCTACATATATAATTATAACACACTACAGTAAAATACTAACTACTCACACTTAATACATCATCTTAATTTAGCTACTTTTGAACTTTTGTAGTTTTAGTTTAGTTGCAGGTTTAGTCATTATGTCTGCTACCATGTTTTCTGTAGCACAGTAATTTAATACAATTTTACCCGCATTCACAAATTTTCTGATAAAATGATATCGGATATCTATGTGTTTACTACGTTGTCTTTTAACAGGATCTTTTGCTAGTGCAATTGCACCTTGATTATCTTCATTAATAATTACAGGTTCTAATTTGGTCTCTTATACACATCTAGATGTGTATAAGAGACAGGTATATGAGAATCATGAAGAAGATAGTTCTGATAGCGACATTCATTTATTGTTTTAAGTACCGTATACTGCAACAATAACATTCCTAGGCGAATTTAGAAAGTTTCAGATAAAAAGTATTTATTAAAGTTTTCATAGGTTTGTTTTAACATCGGCTTGTGTTACTTTACTAATGTAACTCATTGTAATTAAGAGAGCCACGGATTTATCATTGTTATTGCTTTATAGGTCGACTACAATGTATGTTACGGTATTTAATACATTTAAATCAAATTTAGATCGATCTTAATAATGTGACTTTAAATAGGCCTACATGCTAGCGACTAATTATAGAACATATTTAATATTATGATGTAG